CCAGAGGTCCCTGTTCCAGGAGGGTCAGCTGTTCCTCATCTACTGCAATCCATTGTCAGTATTCCTTTGGATAGAATTGGGGTCTGCTGTTCATTTTTCCAATAGTATGTTGGGTTACTGTCTGGAAGAGCCTTTATCTATCCTGGCCAACAACATTCATTCTTTTTGCTTTAGTGTGTAATCCCAGCACTTAGGAGGTAAAGGCAGAAGGATCAAGAGTTCTGGAATATAGGAAACCCTGGAAGAGAAAGGGAGGGGGAGGGAGAGGGGGAGAGGGAGGGAAGGAGAGTATGTATGTTTCTCTCAGTGCTATGACAATTGAAGGGTTCATTGAGAAAATATTTTTAAAGCACAAGGGGTTTGGGTCAGGCTGAAGTGTAAGCTTCTTGACTGTAAAAAGTAAGAAGACTCTTATCTGCAAGTGTTATTACCTAGGTTTAGTTAGGAATGCTGATTTGCTTTTCTTTTTCATCTACAGAATGTGAGAAGATAGAGTTATTTTAAAAAGAAAATACAGCAGCAATAATAATAAAATGCATTGGATTTTGTAGGGGAGCCTTCGGTGGGGAGGATATACTCAACCGTGTTGATGAACTGCCCTTACCTGGACGCTCCAAGAAAGCCAGTTCTTAGTAGAAAGGCTTTCGGCAAATGACCCAGGAAATGCATGTGACCAGTTCATGTTTTTCGAGGCCTTGACAACAGCTTGATGCATACAGAATGTGCTTATTTCAAAGAATGAGACTACAGAACCATAAATAGAGGGTTGACTTCTCAGGTGGGGTGAGGATGGCTTATGTGGGCCATGGTGATGGAACATGTCAGAAGCTGCCAGGACACCTCTGAGATAGTGTTGCCTGCTGTTCTCTCCTCTGGTGCTTTCCTCAACAAATGAGCAGTATCTAGTTACTACTACTGTGTTTCCTGTAAGTTAGAACTGCCTATGGTCTTATTTATTTTTGTATTTATAGAAATTTTATTTATTTGTATTTTATATGTATGAGTGTTTTGTCTGCATGTAAGTGCACTATGTGTGTGCAGTGCCCACAGAGGCCAGAAGAAGGTATCAGATCCCCTGGAACTGAAGTTATGGATGGTTGTTAGTGGCCGTGTGGGAGCTAGAAACTGAACCTGAGTCTTCTGCAAGAGCAGCCAGTGCTCTTAACCACTGAACCTTCTCTCCAGCCCTAAATCTTTTTTATTCTTAGGAATATATTACTGAGAGTTTCTTAAGCCATTTTAAAAAACATTGAATTTTAAAATATTTTATTATTTTTATTTTATGTGTATGAGTGTATTGCCTGCATGTTTGTGAGTGCACTCGTGTCATACAGTTCTGTGTAGGTCAGAAGAGGGCTTGGGATCCCCTGGAACTGGTGTTAAGGATGGTTTGTAGCTGCCATGTGGGCGCTGGAAATTGAACCTGCATCCTCTGCCAGAGCAGTCAGTGCTCTTAACCACTGAGCCATTTCTCCAGCCCCAAAACATTGAATTTTAAAATCAGATTTGCATTTTACATATTTTTCTTTCATGTTTGTGTCTTCTGATAATTGGAAAAGTTAGAACATGGTTTAATGAATTGTTTTTAAAAGGGAAAGCAAAGGGAGAATTCTATATTTGAAAATGCTGTTGAAACTTGCAGTATACAGGGTAAGTTTTCCAACTTGATAAATATTCCTCTCTCTTCCCTCCCTCTGTTCCTTCTACCCCCCCTCCCCACCCACCCAGGACTCTTCTCCGTTTTCTTCTTTCAACATGGTGGTAACGCAAGGTTTGTAATGCAAGTTTTTAGTTTGCAGTTTCTCCTTCATCTGTTGCCTTTAGTAGAATTGTTCCTGGAATAGGTGAGAAGGTCTTAGTAGTTTTGGAGCGGCATTTGTTTTTCTCCAGTTTTAAAAGAAATTAAAAAACTTGGTCTAGAGTTCCAGAATAGAAAATAATTCTATTGTTATTTGATTATTTATTTTTATGTAGAGAAGCTAGTAAAGTTTTTAATTTCTGTTTAACAATTTTATTGAGATAATTCACAGACCATAATGAAAGGCCCATTTAAAGTGTTCAATTCAGTGTTTTTTATTCATAGTTGGCAACTATCAACATGATCAGTTTTAGAACATTTTATCTTCCCCCAAAGAAATTTGTTACCCATTAGCATTCCCTTTATATTTCCCTCATACCCATTGGTGGTGTTTAAATCTTTGATTCTTCACATTGGCTGCCCATTAGAACCATTTGGGTGTGCTTCAGAAGAAACAAACATGGCACCATTCTCGTGTCCCACACCAAGCCAAAACCTTTGCTGGGAGGATTCCAGGCAGGCATATCTGAGCCACAGTTTGTACACAGGGCTTCTCTGATGTGCATAGCCACCTCCAGATTTTGTGGAACTGTGGATTCTCTTTCCTTTGGTCTGAAGTGGACTCCAGGGGCTACCACTAACATGCACCCTGGTGATGGTCATGCTGCTGATCCTCCCACCCTGAAGTAGCAGCCTACCATAGCATTGGCAGCACATGAGAACTTATTAGAAGGCAGCTGCTTGGGTTCCATTGCAGGCTGCCTGAATGAGAGCTTGTGTTTTGCAAGATTTTTCTAGGTAACTCATGTGCTCATTAATATTTAGGAAGCACTAGTTTAGATAATGGTAAAGTGAGCTTTTCTTTTATGCAGAAAAATTAGGATTAGTCACATTTTCTTACTGATTTTTCTTACTCTGTGTGATTGATAGACCTTCACTTATTTTTGATGTCTTACTTGTTGTCCTCTTTATAATTCATTTTCTCTCATTCTTTTGACCATAGTCTTATTTTCAAGAGGCAATAGATGCAAGGCATGGCTAGGAAGCCTAGTCTAAGGAGCTAAAAGGGATAAGTAAGGTTTGCTTTAGATAAGGTGGCACATTAAGAGGTCTAGAATCAATCACCCAAGTTGGCATATGTTACAATCTGGTAATGTTTATAGGCAGCTCATATGTGAATGGCTGTTTAGCATTATAAATCTGTAGAGTGCAATCAACTGTGTATGAGCCTTAAGTTCCTCCAGAGAGGATTGTGAATGGCAGATACAGAGGGAAGGTGAGCCTGAAGTGCAGAGTCCCCTCAAAAGAGCTATGATTACTGGAGCAGTCTTTGCCACATGTTGGTTAGCAATGTCATCCTGCCTTAGGCAGCCAGTGAGCTATATATTAAAGCATAAAAGGAATGTGAGGAGCTTAGAACTCCAGTCAGAGGTGATTTCTGGTTATGCTGTAGGATCAATTTAAAGTAATAGTATGGCAGATAATTGGAACCTGAGTATGAAGATAATCTATATATCTATATAATCTATATCTACATATCTATATATCTATACCTCTCTATCCATATCTATATCTACTCTATCTATATATCATCTATATCTATCTATCTATCTATCTATATCTATATATTTATATCTATATCTATCTAATCTATATATTTTTGAGACAGGATCTTCCTACAGCCCCAGCTGGCCTAGAACTTGCTATGTAGACCAGGCTGGCCTCAAACTTACAGTGATCTGCCTGCTTCTGGAATTCAAGGCGTGCACCACCACGCCCAACTTGATAATCTATATATATATATTTTATGGTTAAAGGACATTGCCAGTATATCGTTGTGGTTTCAATTTTTCTCTCTTTTTGTTCTAATGACTGATCAATTTGAATAACACAGAATATGTGGTCACTTTAAATGGGTCTGTGTGAAACTGCATATGATATGCCAGTGTGGGAGTGGAGAGAATATGAGGACCAGGAATGTTAGCTGGTGACTTCTTTTGATCCTTTTGATTTTCTTGAAGAAGCCCTAGAGAGGGTGTTCCTTTTGTTGTTCCTAGAGTTTGGTGATTCTCAAACTCTTTATGCATAAAAACTGCTTGGGAGGTGGCTGGAAGTACTGCTTCTCAAATTGCTTGCCAGAAAGTCTCATTCATTCAGT